TAAATATGGTCATGTTTTTATTGTTTTCCTCTTCTAAATAATAGTTGAATTTCGAAGGTTGGAGAGTTGCATAAGATGTAACAATTTTAGTAGGACAAGTCCAACAATCAAGAAAACATGTAGATTGTATATTTGACCGTTTTTATATTCTACCTTAATAATGATATTCAATTGATTGAGTTAGTAAATTTAGCATCAGCATATAAGGAGGAAGTATATCTGATTAATGCATGTTAAAAAGAACAGTATTGTGTATACAATACTGTTGAATAGTGAATATAATCTAAACTTAGAATTTAAGCATAATTGATAATTAATTGAACTAGTTTTAGTTCGAAATCATAAATTTATGGATTAATAAATTGTAATATTAATGCTACGTTGCAAATAGCAAATATTCTTTATATAATTCAATAGGTTTTATTACTGCATAATGTGTATGCACTGCCCTATGCGAAACTAGGTCACTACTGCTTATCCTTATCAGTGCTATCTGCATAGTACAATACTGGTTCAATACTACTTCTCTATTGTAGAATATAGCTGACGAATGTATGTGTACAAACTTAGAGTGCATTTATCCAATTTTCATCTTTTGCAAACATTCAACATAGAATTTATCATTGACATTTTCACATGCATTGTTAAATTGGCAGAGTCATTGCCTACACTTTGATAGATTAAAAAAGGATAATCTGAAGATTAAGTTATCTTTGTAATTGATTGATAAAATTTTGATAAAAGATATACTTTCTTTTATCTTTTAATTGGCTGTCATGGAAAACGTCATTTAATTTCATCTGTAAAATCTTTATTCACATGGGTTGAATTTAAAAACAAGTCATATTTGATCAACAAGTGCATATAAAAGTTTATCATAGAGAAAGAGAAAGAGAGAGAAAAGGACTGAAGAGTGGTGGAGGATAGATGGTACTCCTTAAATTTCTGTCTTTTATTTTTTCATATTTTTCACTTCCTGTATTCATATCTAGTAAGTATTTACAACAAATTTATCTATCAAAACACAAATTATCTTTTGCCTTGTCTCTTCTGTTAAATGAAATCTTTCTTCTTCCTCTTTAAGAAAACCTGTCTAAAAATTGTTCACTAAGAATTCTAATTAATCTTTAACTAATAGATTGTATTTCCATATTATGTAATTTAAATTGACTGGTACATTCTCAACAAGTTTTTGATTAAATTTAATAAATCAATGGATGTCAATTTGTTATTAATTCTTATTCAAATTATTCAATAGCTGCCTCTTGGCTAGAATTGTTGTTAAGATTACTGATGGATCATTGATATCACCACTATTTCTTACATCCAGTTTCATCAAATCAGGACAAACTGCCAATAAAAAGATGAGATTTCTTATTTGACTGTCGGTCAAGTAACATCCATAACATGAAACTGCTTGTAGAGTATTGTTTGATACTTCTAATCCATCACAAATACTCTTAACTCCATCACCCATTTTTGTATTGAAAGACAAATTAATGAATTCAATTTTATGGCATTTTTTCAAAAGATATGAAATGTAATTACACTGCTCTTTAGTTAGATTACAATCAGCAAAAGCTAACCTTTTAATTGTATTTGACGATTGAGCAAGCCCATTGCAGATTGATGCTAATTCATCTCCCATTTCATTATTACCACTTAAAGTGACCTGTTGTACTTTTGATAAATTCATTAGAAAATTTCCCAACTCTTTACATGCCTCGGAAGAAAAACCACAATGTGCAAAAGTGAGTGTTGTTAAACTGTTTGAAGATAATTTTAGTCCTTGACATATTGATTTCAGTATTTCACGTGTTAAAAAATTACCACTCAAATTAATTTCTTCTAAACACTGTAATTGCCCTAGTAGTGTGATAATGAACAACCATTGGCTAACAATTACAATGTTACATTGACTTAAACTTAAGGCTCTTAAAGTTGTTGATGATCTTGCTAAGAATTGATAAATACTATAAACTCCCCTATTACCAATTCCTTTATTTTGACTCAAATCTACAATCTCCAATTCAGAAAATTTTTGCAATATATTTCCAATATCTACCCATTCATTTTCACTATACTGACAATTTGATAAATTCAAATATTTTAAAGTATTTGATGGAATAAGACTATTCAAAATAATTGTTAATCCACTTGCCTGTCCAACATTATTACTAAAATCTAGCTTCTCTATTGAAGAAAATTTTTCAATGATTTTCCAATTATTCTCCAAGAATTCTCATCTATTTGGCAAAGTTTAAATGTTATACCAGACAATAGGACTGAAGTATTTTTAACTTTTCACATAAAGTAAGAAAATTTTGACTTGTAAATTGAATGTCAAATGTTACAATAGTTGATGAATTGGCATTATGATCTTTACACAATTTATCAATAAATGATATTTTCTCAAGAGTTTCATCGCCAATACTAAATTTAACATTCAAGACTTGATCTTCAGTTAATTTGTATTTTTCTCCACATAGATTACAAGCTATATTATGCTCATCTCCAGACAATAGTTGGCAACATTGCAAACAGTATACATGTTTGCAAGGTTCAACACTTGATGTTCCACAGCCCATAGAAAATTTCTTTTTGCTCAAGTCTTTTAAACAAGTTTTTAAACACACACGTATCTTTATATACTTTTAAACATTCATTGCAGATAACTTATCTGAAAACTTATATCTTTGAAATTGATTGATTAATTGACTGATATATAATATTGGACCTTGTAACATAATATAAATATGAAGTAGATAGTTCACAATTGCAAGGTGATGATTGATTATTAGAGGCAAATTTCATAGTATATAAACCCCACTGTTCTATCACAGATTGGCATATCAATTGGTTAGGATTTTTTGTATGACTTTGTCAAAGCAAGAGAAACAGAATTCTCACACTTTAAGAATCCCAATCATTTTTAGGAAGCAGAAATGATACACAAAAATCGACATTTTCCATCAGAAACACAAAAAATTTGAATTTATACATATTTTCGCCCTCCTCTCTGTGTTCAATACCAAGGGCTCATCAGGGTCTACTAACCTACACCTACAGAGAGATTGAAGATTTCTCTTCTTCAGATTTTATTAAAAATATACCATATTAAAAGTTCTACTTATTATGATACTATGCAATGGAAAATGAACATACCATTTTAATATTGAATGATTTCTGCTGTTGAATGAGGATTCAGAAGAAGAAATTCACCAAATCATTGTTTGCTGTTAAATGATGTGGTGTTATCTCATTAAATTTTCAATGGGAAGATCCAGATGTATCACTTGATTTTACTGAAAAAAATGAACAATGAAAATACTGCTTTTCTTTGAAATCTCGTTTTAATTAAATGTATCATCTTTCTGCTTATCATCTATCTATCTGCCTCTGCTCTCTCTTTCCCTCTCTTTTAGCATTTGTATTTTGAGCATTCAGTAAAACTCAATGTTTTTGGCCTACTCATTGTCTACACTTGTAGGCTTCTGTCTCTCATTTCAAATAACACTAAAAGTTTTAAAGGAAATAGACTTTTTTCATATAAACATAGCATTAATTTTTCATAATCAATCACAAAAGTATTATCCAATACTCTTAGATGGCTGCAGTAACTATAATTTAACATATCTATGTCAAATAAATGGCTACAATGACTTGTATTCTGAAATGGCAACTTGTTTGGATGACAAACATGGTAAGAAAATTCATAATATGCACAGCTTTAAAGGATAGCAGAGAATTGTAACCCTTAGTTTGGACATACACTTTCTCTTTGTCCTAAAAAAAATCCTGTACTGCACAGTCACTAAACCATTAATTTTAAATTTGTCCAACAACACACCAGATGAAAAAGCATATGTAAACTATAATGGAAAATATATTCTGAAGGATTTTGAGCAGTTAAATGTCAAAATTCCAAAAACATTCTTATGCATTAAATGCTTGAAATAGGAGATTGTTGAGTTGAATTTACTGATTGATATTTAATAAATTAATAATTAATCATTTGCCCTCTCTAGATATATTTGCTGTTGCAAATCAAACTAATTCACCCCAGTTTTAGAAGAGACAAAATCAATTATAGAATTATGAAAAGTTTAAAAAAAACTTTGTGAATGGAGTGTGTGTTGTTAAATGGAGAAATTTTGCTAAATGATGAAAAGTTATATATTGATAGTATGTCTCCACGCTACAAGATTATGCCTATTGGAAAAGAAGAAATAAAACTGTAATAAAATGTGAAATTGTTGACTACTTTTAGAAAATAAAAGTTTGTTTAAATTAAAACAACAGAGTTTCTCTATTAAATTTTACTTTAGATCTTTTTAACAATTTGACTTTGTGCCTATATGAAAAGAAAAGACACTGAGAAAATTGAACAGATATCATATGTTTCAGCTCACTGAATATTTTAGCATACTCTTTAAATGCTAAAAGTATTGAATGGCAAATAATTCTTGATTATACATTTCAAAATACACTAAACATGTCATTTATAATAAAATCTCAATTAATGAATAAAGAACAACACTGATTGTTTGAAAGAAGAAAGATTTAATTGCCAAAATTCTACTTATCCATTTTGTGCTTATGCAACATTTTCCTCAAAATCAGTAAAATTATACTGCAAAACTTGAGAAAACAATGATGTTTTTGATTGTTTTGCAGTTAATTTTTATGCAACTGGAATAAAATATTTCAATTTGACATTTATTTGTACATACAATGAGGTGTTGCATGGTAATTATCACCAAAATACATATCTAGATACTTTAATGTTTTTGGTACTAGTTTCTATTTTCACTAATCAGTCTTTACTATTAGAATAGAAAGAGCTTCTTCTATCTACAACTTAACTCTGTTCATCTATCATCATCTCCCTCTCCTCTATAATTTATTTCTTTTCCCTAATTTTCTCTTCCAATTATAGACGTTCAAGATTTTCGATTTGTTACCAATAAAGATGAAATTGTTTATGCAAAAAGCCCAAAAATGGACACAAATGATGTCATTATTAAAGATTTAGAAATGAGATTTCATGAAATTTGGCTTCAAATTTCATCGATATCTATGAAAAGTTTTCAAGTTCAACTTATTTGTCAACATTTTGGATTTCCTCATGGTACACTTATACCAATGAAAAGACCAGTAGACATGAGAATGACTGGTTTACAATGTAGAAAGAGTTATTCTCTGTTGACGCAGTGTAGAACAGAATTTGTTGTGTGAGTTACTAAACTAGTATTTTCAATATGTAGGGGTTGACAGAAAACACGCTCAATCGAGATTTTGAGTTGAAAACTGGTTAGAGGGTTGTTTGTTTGTCCTATGTGAGAGCTATTAGTAATCAAGAAGGAGTTGGTCAAAGAACAAGGGTTGGATTAGGTTTAGGGTAAAAGCACAATTTTGCAGATGTTTTCTGTCAAATAAAAATTCTCTTTTTATTACAATTCATTTTCTGTTCAAAAAATAGATTCATACAAAATAATGTTGAAAGTATGTTTGCAATTAAATGTTCAAATGAGAATATTCAAGGTTTTTTTACTTCAATAAAAACCATTGTTTTCAAAAATCTTTCATGTAAATGTTCAGATTGCACAGAAGATGATGCAATAATTATTGGTGATGTATGCTATTCTATCTTTGGCAATGGAAATTTGAAATCCCCAAGGGCTGTTAATGAGTATTGCAACAAAAGAATTTAACAACATGGGATGATTTATTGCAGTACAGAATTGAAATTATGCAGTATTTTTCAAGATTATATATAGAGAAATATCAATATTTTCCAATTGAAATAATTTCAGGTTTGTCTTGTTTTTTTTCAACCTTAAAGTTTTAATAGTTTGAAAAGTAAACAACTACCAGTAGTAAATGAATTGACACCTACCAATCGTCCTATTGAATTGTTTGATCAATTATACAGAAATGTTGGTACATTACACAATGATAACCCTGCTGGATTCATTATTTGGTTATAGAGACTATGCATTTATGCACATTTTCCTTTCCATTAACATAATTCGCCATTACTCTACCTCTTGTTCAAAGAAAAATGAATAATTTTCTGTTTTGAATAGGAATCGGAATATTTTCAAAGAGAGCTTATATATAACATTACACCTGAGAGTACTATCAGAAAAAGGGAAAATTTTTGCTTCAAATGCATTTTTATTGCGGAAAGATGGATTAACAGACAGAAAATTGCTCCAGAGATACAGTACTCAAATGTTCCTTGCTCAACAAAAAGTGTCAAGTATTTCATTTGTCAGATGATACCAAGTATGAATTTGTTTGTTTGTTTGTTAGTTAAACTTTACTAGAATTGTACTTTTACCATTGGTTCTATTTACTTTTATGTTTGTCCAGTAGTTATAGGACTATTAGAATAGTATGCAAGATACCATTACAAACAGTTTTGGAAGAGACGCTCTTATGAATACTCAGCATTACTGCTACCTGCAACTGTTGAAGTGTCTTAGTTTTATAATATAATAAGCTTCTCTAAAATTGATTACCCATACTCCTTAGAGTGTGTGGGATGATTGGGACAACACGGGTTGAAGCACTTCTAAGTAGGGTTGAGAACAAATGTTCTCTAAGAGAACTATCAGGTTGGTGTGTGACAAACAGTTATGCAGCATGCCTTCAAAAGTGTGGTTTTTGTTAGCTATAAATCCTTTTTTCCCAAAATTAACCATAGAGAATAATTACTTTCTAAATAAGCCAAAGACATGGCATGAAGAGTTATTGATTAAAAACAATTCGTTGTTGTGCATATCGAATGAAAACGATTGCTCTATTAATGTTAAGAAAGGAATTGTAATAAAACGCCTATGCAAGAAAATACTGATTAAAGGGAATGGGAAAACTGGTCATGAAAATTGCAGAGTTAGAATAACAGTATTGAAGATGGTTTGTTTCAGAATTTTTAGGGAACAAGGAGTTGGGATAAATTAGAGTTTTGTAGGGGTTACAACAGACATTGGATGATAATTTGGTTTCTGCAAAATATTTTCCAATTGTTTTCACAGATGTTTATAAGCATAGGCATTCTTACTAATCTATGAGTGTTCATTTTCAGACAAATATATTTTCTTGCACTTATAGGCTTTCATCTATTCCAGTATCACATTAATTCAAGTACATTTTACCAGTGCCCCCAATTCACGTACCAATGTAATGTACATAAATTTTGTATCAGTGTCTCTGCTGTCTGTGATAATGTTAATGATTGCCCTAATGGTGAAGATGAACAGGATTGTTTATATTATTACTGTACTTTGTTGTATAGTAATTGTAGGAATTTCTGGTTCATCACCACTGATTTGGTCCTTTCCAATCATTTACCAATTTACCAAAGTACTGGTCCAAATAGAACCTTTCAAGTTCATCCACAAGTAGTTTAATAAATGTAATTTCAGTAGAAATTAATCAACAAAATACCAGTATTTTGTCCAAAGAATATGTATTGAGTAAAAATGAGTTTCTAGTTCTAAATAAGCAAGTTTAAACAACTAGCTATCAGTTAGAGAACTGAACTATCAACTGTTAATTTCGTAGGGTTTATATACTCTTTTAAGAGTTGATAGTTGACCAATTTCAATGTTCACAAAAACAAAAGTAACATTTTAAGACAAAGAAAAGTTCTAAATATGGTCATGTTCTTATTGTTTTCTTCTTCCAAATAATAGTTGAATTTGAAGGTTGAAGAGTTGCATAAGATGTAACAATTTTAATAGGACAAGTCCAACAATCAAGAAAACACAAGGATTATATATTTGACTGTTTTTAGTTACTACTCTAATAGTAATAATTGGTTTTAAATAATTTTAGCATGAGTATATAAGAAGGGAAGATATCTGATGAATATATATGTTATGTATAGTAGGATTGTGTATACAATACTACTAATTTATGAATAAAATCTAAAATTGATGGCAAAAGCATATTGTCATTCAATTAAATTAATTTCAATTAAAGTTGATCAATTTATAAATTAATTCAGTGAAATATTCAAGTTTGCAGGCTTCCAGAAGATCAGTCTGGTGGCAAACTAATATCATTTTTCCAAACTCACCTGAAGAAGGAGGAATACCTCCGAAATATAGTGAGTTTTTACTAGTGAGTAGATAGTTAATTGTGATACAGGCTCTCTTCACATTTGTTGAGAATTTGTATCGTGTTGTTGGAGATACAGTGAATAGCTTAGGCTAGGAACTGCTACTTAAGATAGTAGTTCCTAATAGCCACACTAACCCTTGGCCT